AGGGAGAACAGTTTAGAACTGATAGAGCTATCCAGTATAAATAAAGTTAGTTTAGTTTAGGTTTCCTCCTGTAGTAACATTGGATCAATAAGAGATGACCCTTACTGAACCTCTAGGGAGAACAGTTTAGAACTGATAGAGCTATCCAGTATAAAGAAAGTTAGTTTAGTTTAGGTTTCTTCCTGTAGTAACACCGGATCAATAAGAGATGATCCTTACTGGACCTCTAGGGAGAACAGTTTAGAACTGATAGAGCTATCCAGTATAGATAAAGTTAGTTTAGTTTAGGTCTCCTCCTGTAGTAACATTGGATCAATAAGAGATGACCCTTACTGAACCTCTAGGGAGAACAGTTTAGAACTGATAGAGCTATCCAGTATAAAGAAAGTTAGTTTAGTTTAGGTTTCTTCCTGTAGTAACACCGGATCAATAAGAGATGATCCTTACTGGACCTCTAGGGAGAACAGTTTAGAACTGATAGAGCTATCCAGTATAGATAAAGTTAGTTTAGTTTAGGTCTCCTCCTGTAGTAACATTGGATCAATAAGAGATGACCCTTACTGAACCTCTAGGGAGAACAGTTTAGAACTGATAGAGCTATCCAGTATAAAGAAAGTTAGTTTAGTTTAGGTTTCTTCCTGTAGTAACACCGGATCAATAAGAGATGATCCTTACTGGACCTCTAGGGAGAACAGTTTAGAACTGATAGAGCTATCCAGTATAGATAAAGTTAGTTTAGTTTAGGTCTCCTCCTGTAGTAACATTGGATCAATAAGAGATGACCCTTACTGAACCTCTAGGGAGAACAGTTTAGAACTGATAGAGCTATCCAGTATAAAGAAAGTTAGTTTAGTTTAGGTTTCTTCCTGTAGTAACACCGGATCAATAAGAGATGATCCTTACTGGACCTCTAGGGAGAACAGTTTAGAACTGATAGAGCTATCCAGTATAGATAAAGTTAGTTTAGTTTAGGTTTCCTCCTGTAGTAACATTGGATCAATAAGAGATGATCCTTACTGGACCTCTAGGGAGAACAGTTTAGAACTGATAGAGCTATCCAGTATAAATAAGTTAGTTTAATTTAGGTTTTCTCCTGTAGTAACACTGGATCAACAAGAGATGATCCGTACTGGACGTCTAAGAAGAACAGTTTAGAACTGATAGAGCTATCCAGTATAAATAAAGTTAGTTTAGTTTAGGTTTCCTCCTGTAGTAACACTGGATCAATAAAAGATGACCCTTACTGGTTCATAATGTCAAGTGTTTTTCATTAGAAATATTTTTCTCCCACAGTTCACAGACTATCATTTGGTCGCTGAGGGTTACGGTGGCAAAGGCCTGACCTTAAACGAAAAACATTCTGCTGACATTAGTAGCGTACTACGGAAGGCTCAGATGCTGTCACGTGACGGTCATGCGGTATTGGTCAATGCTCTGATTGGTAAAACTGATTTCCGAAAAGGATCGATCTCTGTTTGAATTTGACGCGGAAAAGATGGAAAAGGTATTTGCACTGAAATTTGCTAATTAACTGATCAACCCAGTCATTCTATTCTAATATCAGGGTTCGTACAAAACTTGAAAGGCCTGGAATGTCCTTGAATTTGTAAAGAAGTACTTGAATGTCCTTGAATTCTTCTTGCTTTAGTTTTTGGATATTTTCTAAAATTGTTTGACATTCAAGACGGACATTTTGTTGAACTGATTTTGCATGTTCATATGTCACCTCATTATAAAGTTACGTTTTGAACAATTCAACGTCAGATTTTACTGATTTCTAACGCCTTTTCTTCAGTATTTAGTCCTTGAATTTGCTGATACATGGCCTTGAATGTCCTTGAAAAGTCCTTGAATTTGACTCTTCCTGACATGTACGAACCCTGTAATATTAATTTGAATGATTTCTATTTGCTATTTAATGTACTGATTTAATCAATCACATAGGTTTAATAAGATTTCAACGAGGAATCGACTATTTTTTCTAAATTTTATGAACAAAAGAAAACTAGAGCATTACTTGCGCAATAAGAATAGTAGAAATGATTTATGTAAAAACTATAAAGCCCCAGGTCAGGGCTCGGAGTAGAGAAAAAAATGGCCTGCCATTTTTTGGCAGGTGAAATAAATTTTAGCCTGCCATTTTTATTCATTGAACTGCCAAAATGGCGATGTCTCTCATATGAGTCATATTGTAAAAATCAGTGTTTTCATGATATGCATTTTTATTATTTTTAAACTTGTCTATTTTACTACAGTAAACTTGGATTTACATTTCAAATCGAAACGTATTTAGTCAACTAAATGATCTAGTATATATAAGTTGTGGTGAGCAAATGAAATGAAATATATCTGAGTAGAATTTCACCTGCCAGATTTTTTTTTTACTTGGCAGTTCAGATTTGTTTTTGCCTGCCATTTCTAAAATCTGGCCTGCTTTTGGCCACTGGCAGCCCGCTATTTCGAGCCCTGCCCAAGTCAAACGACGATGAAAAAGTGTGACTAACCCCAAATATGATTTCCGGTATGGGTAATATTTGGGTCATTCTGAGAAGAAATATAATATATCTTTATAATAAAAAAACCTCATCTTGATCAACTTTTTCACCGTCCAAGTTTCCGGATATGATGTCATTGGGTGAATTTTTGGCACAAAAAAACAAAGGATAACTAATTTGCAATTCACCTAATGACATCATATCCGCAAACATTGACAGTGAAAAAGTTGATCAAGATGGGATTATTATAAAGATATATTACATTTCTTCTTGGAAAGACCCAAATATTACACATACAAAAAATCATATTTGGAGTTAGTCAAACTTTAAGATCTGAGAATCTGGCTAAGTTGACTATGTCGACTATATTTCGAATATTTGTACTTCGTCATAAATAAATGGACGCGCATTTGAGTAGTTCGAAAATTAGCTAAATAAATATAAAAGATTGCGAGAAATACAAGAAATAAATAACGAATTTTACGTGTGCATTTCGAATTCGAAAGGACGTGGTTTGCGCGCACGCACGGACACAGAAATACGTGATGCACGCATCCCCTTCGCGTGCGCGCGCGCCATCTCCCAGCATCCAATTAAAAATGCGTAACAATTTATGCATTTAGTGCGTCATCAAATTAGCCCTCATTACATCCATACAAAACATCACCAAGTTCATTCGCTGCAAATTTTCCGCCGGAGGAATGTATAATATTTTTACACCGTTCGTTCTAACGTTAACATTTTTCAACAATGGCGCGCGTTGGATGGGAGAGACATTTCTTCCTCTGTATTTTTACAATACCGAGAGGATTTTTATTCCGCCGCTGCAAAGTTCTGTGAGGTTCAGCGACGTTTGGCCCCTGGCTGATATGATGACTTATCCCGAGTTAGATATGGATCAAGAGTTGATTTATTCCGCGCTTGAGTTTGCTCAGAATGTCCCGGATTTTAAAACTTGCTTTCCAGAGGTAAGGTAATTCATAGATGTCTGTTTGTAGCTTGTTAGCGCATCTCTGTGACCGAGGTCAGAACAGTTTAGAACTGATAGAGCTATCCAGTATAAATAAAGTTAGTTTAGTTTAGGTTTCCTCCTGTAGTAACACTGGATCAATAAGAGATGATCCTTACCAGACCTCTAGAGAGAACAGTTTAGAACTGATAGAGCTATCCAGTATAAATAAAGTTAGTTTAGTTTAGGTTCCTCTTGTAGTAACATTGGATCAACAAGAGATGATCCTTAATGGACCTCTAGGGAGAACCGATAGAACTATCCAGTATAAATAAAGTTTCATATCTATGTTTAATTGTTGTTTAGATTTGGAATGATATCGTAGATGTGTGTTCTCGTGACTCGACGTTCATCAGTGAATATCAATACACTGTGATGGCGCTGCGTATTTTCAACTGTTTACATCATAGATCACTGGGGATTGAGGAGATTGATTTTGAGTTTATTGACCAGGTAACTAAACTAACTTTATTTATATTGGATATATCGATCTATCAGTTCTAAACTGTTCCCCCTAGAGGTCCAGTAAGGATCATCTCTTATTGATTCAGTGTTACTACAGGAGGAAACCTAAACTAAACTAACTTTATCTATACTGGATAGCTCTATCAGTTCTAAACTGTTCTTCCTAGAGATCTAGTAAGGATCATCTCTTATTGACCCAGTGTTACTACACGAGGAAACCTAAACTACACAAAAATTATTCATTTTTTTAATCTTCGCATTTTTCTTTGCCAGGACTATGTCGCGTATTTAGCAGTGATGACAGGTAAAGAGGGAGTTTTGTATCAGAAGATGTATAATGTTGCTCGTGGTTTGTGTCTGAATGAAAAACAGGACAGAACAATTAGAGATGTCCGTCGTAGGGCTGAAAATATTGAGAATAGCGTGGCGAGATATTTGAATCGAGTCCGAAGAATTAAGGTATTGGATGAGTCTATATTAACTTTATTTTACTGGATAGCTCCATCAGTTCTAAACTGTTCTGAATGTGCTTTTAGTCCAGCTTATTGTTTTTGCCATCATCATCACCACGATCATTATCATCACTATCATCATCATTATCATCATCATCATCACCATCATTGAATTTTTCTGTGTTGGTGAAATGTACTCAGTTGAATATGATGCTTGTAATGTTACTCTGAGTGTATATCATAGATGTATGTCCACACCGGGCAAGCTTGAAAATATATACCTGGTTCGATTCCCACCGTGGCCAGGCATATTTTTCAAGCTTGCCCGGTGTGGATATAAACTCAGAGTAACATCACAAGCATAATGCTTTAACTGTTTAACATGAATTTCTTTACTTACAGACACACCTCGCTACATCGACAAAAGTTAACACTAAAAAGACAAATATAAAACAGGGCGTTCACGGCACTTTTATAAACGAAACTGGAAGGTCATTGAAAGAATTTAAACAAAATTCTGCAGAGAAATTCAAGAAGTATATAAGAGTGATGAAAAATGTTGTATATGAAAGCAATTCTTGCAGCAAGAGCGTGGACACCAGCTTGGATTTGGTTGCAAAGAATTTTAGAAAAATAGGTGAGTGAGAAGTTCTTTACAATACATGTTTGTTGGCATGAACGTTATTAAATGGATACCTGACGTGCTCTGAGCACCCAATAAGTTCACAATTTGACCTTGATAAGAGCAATCATCTGCCCTAATATTTTACTCCTGATAAGCAAAGTCGACTGGCGTTTGACAGAGTAGAATAACAAGGTGGAGCGCATTGTGGCTTACAAGATACATGGTACTCTGGTTAAATTAATAACGTTCAACACTTCCCCTCACTAGTAATATCGTCTGGCGTTAGGTGAAATAACAAAGTAGGGCACTTTATGGAATGGTTAACGCAAGACAGAAGAAAATGTTCTTTTAAACCATGAAACCGCAGCAGTTTTACTTTCATACGTAGAACCATCTGGTGTTAGACAAAGTTAAATAAGAAAGTAAAGCATTATCACCATCACAACCATCATCACCATTATCGTCACCACCATCATCACCATCATCGTCACCATCATCATCATCATCACGATAATCATAATCACAATAATCACCATCATCACCATAATCATGATCACAGTCATAACCACCATCATCATCATCATCACCATATCACCAAAATAGCACACATTCCAAGTCCATACTCCAGTTATCAACAACGAATATTTTTTCTTCAGGTCATATCTTACAAGGGGAGAAAAGACTTAAAAGATCTTGGATAAATTTTGCGCAGGAATACAGCAGAAAAACAACGGAAATGGAACGCAAAGTTGCTTCAATTGAAACGAAACTAGGTACGATATTGACGAATTCTTCTCACTTTCTTTTCGTCTCTCTTCACTTGCGACACTATATTTTATTTTTTTAGGAAAAATTTTGAAACACAAGCTGAAATGAGAAAGTATTTCAGGATCGAAACACGTACAGTGATTGATTTTTTTGAACGATTTTTTTCACATTTATATTTGTTCAGATGTGTAACTAATCAAGTTATTCAAAAATATTGATGATTTGCATAATAACCCAAATCGTATCCATGTTTACAATCTTATACAGTAAGACCCGTTTACAATTTTGCTGCGATCTCTTGTCCCAGTTTCTTTTGACGATGTTCACAACCGATCAGAACAAAAGCACCCTTACAAAACGAGGTCGGAAGCGCTGAATTAAGGTCCATACAGACCGGACGCTATTCGGCAACGCGAATCTTCAGTTTTTAAGAACAAATAAAACCGCCAACCGATAAAAATTTTACAAGATATGCAGACCAGATAGTTATAATTGCCTAAATGGTTCCGAATATTTGAAAAGCACAGTAAAATATTAAAGTTAAATGTCATTGAAAATTGAAAATTCGCGTTGCCAAACGCATCCGGTGCCTTAAAATGATTTCGTCATTCTCCGAAAGCTCGCCGAAGATATCACGTGCGCGGAAACATCCTATAAGCCCTGAAAAGAAAGACGAAAGCCCCTCAAATGAGTTCCGGTTGTATAATATGTTTGAGGTTATATCTCGATGGTCGATTTATTCGCAGCAGAAAGACATTTGAACGAGCATAAAAACGTACGATTCTCCGAAGAGCATATTCTACAGTAAATCGATGGATTAACTTCACGTCTTTTGAAATTGGATCGTCGCTTGAAGAAGGATGTGTTCCGCGAGTCTTCATAATTATCGGTAAGGGCAACTATAGACAATATCGCGTCGGTTGTCTTTGAATATTTGCAACATTGAGGATTCGAAGCGCGTGTTGCCGTCAACATTAACTTGGGCTTTTTCGATTTTTAGTTGGTATCACGGCACCGTTAATCGAAATGGCACAGAGCAGTTGCTTCTGGGTAGAGAACCAGGGATATACTTAGTTCGAGACAGCAGTACTTCAGCCGGTGATTTTGTTCTGAGTGTAAGGTGGGTAGATTTCACTTCACGACATTTTGAAAGCACGCTGTGTTACACTTTTCATTTCGAACCGGCTGGCTCGTGTTCGCATCAATACAGCATAAATGCAATGATTCTTCCTATTATTGCGTAAAATGGCAGAATGTTTTCATAAGATTTTGATTTCACAACAATGTTAACAAACACTATCAAACCACATACAATCTCGCTATGTCAAAGCGACATTTGTTTTCGAAAAATTATCTTCAATGTAAATTTCGTAAAATGAGCCTCTCAAGTCGAATTATGAATGCTTTTGTTGTTGAAATAACTTCGGAAGCTTTTAAAAGTACCCTAAACCACTCTAACTCAAATGCAATTCCCATAGTTTATACAGTTATACAACTCTTTCGATCCAACAAAAAGCTACATTCCTCCTCAGACTTTAATATAATAATCATATTCTATTGATTGTCGATAATAATACGTTCGATTCTCCGCAGAATGATTTGGAACTGTTGTTAATTTGTCACTTTTGAAACCTGATTGTAGGTGTAGATTCTAATTTGATTCTAATTTGATTGTTAGAGTTCTAATTTGTTGTTTTGTAATAAATTCATGCGATGTTTGTTGTGTCTAACTCCGTCGCCATAATACTGGATTATTGATTAGTTTATGGCCAACTTCCTCACGTCAAGTCTATTTTCAATGTATAATCGTTTATAGTAAACTTTATTTTAATAGTAAAGTTGAGTAAAGCTTAAATAAATGTATATTGTATAAGCTATTAATTCTCACCGTTTGTCAAAAAAGGGATATTCCAAAAAAAATGCACATAAACACTTCTTTATATCACAAGTGTCATAATGATATTTTGATGTCTCTTAAACAGGAGAGGTTTCGGGCAGAAGTATTCTTCTTTATAGCCTAGGGCCTGTAGTTTCTAACTCTCTGTTTTCTAGTTATTAAAACTCTGAAATAAAGTCTACACGAAACTTGATACAGTATATTTAATTAATACAGTCGCTATAGAGTAAGGTATACTTTGACTACTAAATTTTCCTATAATATCAAGATTTCTAACAGAGCCCTTGACATTGATGTTTACGGCTGACAGCAAACTTTAAATCATCATTTGTGCTCAACTGTTAGCTGTTCAAGGTTAACCGGTCCAACTTGTGCACTAAAATTGAAGCTTGAATTAGATACTGTTTAGATAGCTGTCAAAATTGTCTCTATTAGAAATCTTGATATTATAGGAGAATTTAGTTGTCAAAAAGTATACCTTACTCTATGACGACTGTATTAAATGTGAGGTACTGTATGAAGTTTTATGTAGACTTCATTTCAGAGTTTAAATACAAAACAGACAGCTAAAAAAGCATGTGTTAGATACTTGTAGCTGTCAAAATTGTAAGCCTTACCTTTGAATGCGATTTGAAGTTTACGGTCTGTCGTAAAACATCAATCTTAAAGTCCCTAATATTACATCAAATACAATCTTCCATATGTTGTGGTCAAAAACATCATCACCATCATGACCACAAGTAATCATAGACTTGCGGCTTATTCTAAAGAATTCATAATACATGTTAATAATATAAGACAATAATATATTTTATTAAAAACACTTATAGCAATATCAGAATTTTGGGTACCTACACTCGATATAAGTAATTGGAGAACTGTTTCGTAGAAGGAAATTTTCGAGTGTGAATTTTATACATTAGACCATCTATGAAAACCATCTACTTATAGCAATGGCAGCCCCTTTTCTACAAGAGACTGATCTCTCTAGATGGAACTATGGGCCAAGAAACAATAGTTTATGTAATAATTTGTCATCATTAAGACTATCGTCGCCAAGACTATCATTTGTCGACAGGTGAACTTGTTCATTTGACAGATAATCTATGTGCTATGTTTATATGTTGGACAACCTATATTTTTTTTGCCTAAGTTCACACAGAAGGACCAATGTGTTGTGTTTTGACTAAGGTTACGTTTCCCCCACACCGGATAGCTTTGCGTAGCGGCGCAAAAAAGCACCTATCCGATACGGAATGTACAACTTTCAGAAGCTGAGCGAAACAGCATCTCTCCGTTGCAATAATTCCTCTGAAAATAGTGTTCCTAAAAGGTACGGATAGGTTTTTTTTCACGTCACTAGGGAAAGCTACTGGGTAGGTCAGTACAGTGTCAAACACCTAAGATGGATTTCTGTCAACAGATGATGTATATTGAAGGAATATCTGTATCGAAGGAATATCTATCTACATGTGGTTATTTGTGTTAAACATGTTACTTAGTGTCTGCTTTTCCTATTTTCAGTGAAAATAAAAAAGTGAGTCACTACATTATCAACAACAAGGGGAACCATTATAAGATTGGTGAACAGACATTTTCCGACATCCCATCGATAATAAGCTTCTATAAAAACCACTTTCTCGACACCACTACATTGACAGGCGCAGTAAGTATTATAGATATAGAGGATATTACACGGTGGCTTGAAGATATGACTTTTATCTTTCAGTGGTGAAAACAATATTTTACAAACCAGAGCAGCGAGCGAGTAAAATATTGTTTTTAACACAAGAAAATAAAAGTCGTATCTTCAAGCCACTGTGTAATGTTCTGTTTATTATATAGTCCCAAGCAATAGACCTTTATAAAAAGGTTGACGTCAGCAGACTTGTGACGTAGTTTGCGGAGAAAATCCCGAAAGCTCAGAGTTGTTTACTTGTTTTGAGTTTTTTAAGAGCCAAAAGAAGCCAGTATTATGGTAAGTTTGAAGTAAATTTTTCTATATATAGGCCAAATGAGTTTTCATATTCGTTAGAGTTTAAATTTTATTTGTTTTTATATTAGATTGTACATTTATTTTACTGTCAACATTTAGCAAATTGTTCGCTCGGTCTGTTTACATATTTCTTTGCTAAAAAGCATGTTTTTTGTTTCTCGAATTCACTGATCAGTCTAATCATCAGAATGGCCCAACCCGGCAAAACCTTGATAGAAAATTAAAGCTAGATTGTTGACCCAGACACGGAAAGTGTTATACACGATTGATAAAAGCTATACTTGTCATGTATGTTCACTTCAACTATATTTATCGATAAAATAAGAGACTTTATAGTCTTAGTTTATAATATGTCTAAGTTCACTTATGACTTATGTACCACTTTGCACGATCACTGAGCCTGTGTATTGCTGTCTACAGCTTGATAGGGGGCCATTCTGATGATTAGACTGAAGAATTCGAGAAACAAAAAAGAAAAAATATACTTTTTAGCAAAGAAATATGTAAACAGACCGAGCGAACAATTTGCTAAATGTTGACAGTAAAATAAATGTACAATTTTATCTAATATAAAAACAAATAAAATTTAAACTCTAACGAATATGAAAACTCATTTGGCCTATATATAGAAAAATTTACTTCAAACTTACCATAATACTGGCTTCTTTTGGCTCTTAAAAAACTCAAAACAAGTAAACAACCCTGAGTTTTCGGGATTTCCTCCGCAAACTACGTCACAAGCCTGCTGACGTCAACCTTTTTATAAAGGTCTATTG